GAAGTAACTTTTATGCTCATACCCTAAGGTTTTAGATATCAGACTTTTTTGTTTACCCTTGACACAACATGCTCCGATAACAACTATGTAAATCGATACGAAAAATTTATTTTTAATTTAGCAATGTATTTTTTTTTAGTTTATCATTAAATTTCTTTAGAATTTTAACTTAAATCTTAAGCTAAGAAGTAATTATTGTGTGGCATTAGGTTATATTGTCGAACGGAGTTTCAAACCCCTCTAGTGAAATAAATCGGTACGTAAATCGACTATGATATTTAATCACATCTGTAATATTCGTCGCATAGTGGTTGGCAAATTTGCAGGCGCGTACTTAAATAGAAGAAAATCCTTTTACTTATGAGATTACAGACCGCCCGAGAAAAATCAAAACTTTGGCCATATACGATTTACGCTTGTAAATATAAGTGAAAAGATTTGTGCTTAATTCACGCTCATTAAAACAATACAAGCTGATTTAAAACTCATACACGTTGGAGACATGGGAGATGATTTCCTAGGGAAAGCCGTTTCAATAGAATGCGATGCTAAGCTCGGTGTGTTTCAAGGGGTGATTAAGGACATATCTGAATCGGAGATAACTATTATTCGTGCATTTCGCAACGGTGTTCCTTTGAAGAAGCAAGATGCGGAAGTGACTTTACGGTATGTTCCATATCTACGCTGGTTAAGATAACCCACATTGAATAAAGCTTTTATATTCCAGAGCAACAGATATTGTGAATATTTATTTGATACCGTCTTTTAATGGCCAAAATACTGTCACGCCAGTAGATTTAAAAAAACCGACATCGGTAAAATTGCCGGGCTTCGCAAATGCTGGAAAAATTGTTTTGGCATTATCTCACAATAAAGATGTATTAGAAAGAGATCACTCCTCCTCGTTACCTAATTCCATTTACCCAAAATCCAAAGACAACATAAGTGAACTCACAGATAAAATAGCCAAAGTAAAAGTAGATTCCAGCAAGTATAAAAGGTAAATAAAGAAAGAACATTTTCAACTTGTAATATCAAGTCCATATTCATAGTGTTCAAAATTTGGAGAGTAGAGTAGTTGAAAGTGGGAAAGTGCCTTGCAATAATACTGTTAGGGAATTCTTTGGAAACTTGCTTCCGCCCAAAGTAGAAGCCCGACTGGGAGCGGCTCAATTTCCATCATCTCCCAATTCAGTGCATGTCTATGACGCTGATAACTTTGATGTTGCAAATGCCTTATGTGAACAAGCCTCCGCTAGTTCAAGGCCCATTGATATAAAAGTTAAAAAGAATAACTATGGAATAACTGGCTTTCCCAATGGTCCGGATATTTCCGTCAGCGCAAACGGAAATGGAAATGGCAGACTACGTTATGCCAATAATGGCTCCAGTAACAATGGGAGCAATCGTAAACAACGAAAACAGCTACGTAAAGACGGTAACATGAAGCATAACCAAACTTTCAGCGCCTCAGTAGATGATCCAATATTACAAGAAGATTTTGATTTTGAAGGAAATTTAGCTCTTTTTAACAAGCAAGCGATTTGGGATATAATTGAAGCCGAACAAAAGCCGGATTTGGTGCGCCAAACTTCAGGTGCAATTAAAAAATATCGCCACGATGAGAATATATTGGTTAGTGAGCCCGTAAGACTGCGACAGATTGAAAATATTTTTGACGGCTCTACAGACTTTGTTACTGGTAAAAATTTCAATATAAAAAGATTTAATAAAATACTGAACCAATAAAATTAATATGTTTTAGATGAAGGGCTCATAATACCAACTATCCCATCGTTTGTACGAGCGAAAATTGAAAGTTTAGCAGAAAAGGGAGGTCTTTCTTTGCCAAGACAATTGGATATACTAACAAGGGGTGTTACTGATCTTGCCATATTATTACTAGGGGGCGCGAGAAGACTTACACCTACTAATTACCACCAATGGCCAATCATTGTTATTATATGTGCAAAATCAAGTAATTTAAGGTATATTACTTTATGTTTCATTCGAATTGTGATCTCAAATAATTTATATTATACAGAACTAGTGATATTGGCGCTGCTACCGGTCGTCAAATGGCGTCGCATGGATTAAAAGTTTTACTTTATTTGGAAGATGAAACTGTGAATAATAAAAGCAAAGAGATTGCGCTTTTCAGCGCTACGGATAATGTTGTTGTATACTCAGTCGATGGTAAATGCACTTACATACATATGTTCTTTTTAAAATATTCAATATTTTAACTTCATTCTGGTTTTAGAACTGCCTTCTCCTGATCTCGTAATTTTATCAACAAATTCAAATACCGTAACGAATGAAGTCAGAAAATGGTTGAGTGAAAGTAGGTGAGTATTGCGTAGTTTATCAGTCTTCGGTTAGTTCAAAATACTTTTCTCATATTACACAACTTTTTTGAAAGTATTTCAATTTCTGCTAATTACGGCTACGGACGAGACTCTGGGCCGAAATACAGCATTCGTGAACGATTCAAACTCTATAGCGAATGTAGCACGAGTAATCGTGTATGCAGCGAGTTAATCCCAGAATTTGTTTTGCATGATTTTTCGTTTCTAATTTTTCATTGTTTGTAATGTAATGTTTTATATTAAATATTTATTAATTTGCGGTTCGCAGCTTCTTACTCGATAGTCAAGAACTGTTAGTACGGTGAAAATGTATTAGTAAAACTTTCGTGGTAAAGCAATTAAAAACGTTGGGGTGGTTTCTTTATTTCGGAGTTTTTAATACATGTTGTTTTTTGTGATTACACTTGTGAATGCGTAAAGAATATTATCCTATTGAAATGAAACTGTCGCGGCGATAACCTTATTTATCATTTTGATACGAGTTCGAAAGTTTTCTTTTTTAGGTAAGATTCTCAGTTTATTATTTAAGTTTAGTTAATTTTTATTTATTATTAAATAAATTTTTCGTTTGATTTTCAGAAGAGATCACAAATAACAGTTACAACTTTCTAGTATTCACATAATACTTATTGCAGAAGTATCCAGTTGTTGTTGTTGTTGTTGTAGCGGCTACAACAACCCCGCCCAGATCGGTTGGTATCTCAGTCGTTGTCGTCAAGTTCCACTAACGGCAACCCTAGGAAGCGTGCAGCTTCTGTGGGATTTGTCCACAGGGACAAGGCCGTTAGGGTTGTCGGGTTTTCCGGGCATGCGAAGAGATGGTTCGAGTCATGTGGGGTCTCTCCGCATGCCGGACATTCGTTCGGCACATCCTCATTCAACCTACTCAAGTAGGAGTTTAACCTGCTGCAGTAGCCGGAGAGAAGTATCCAGTTGTTGTTGTTGTTGTAGCGGCTACAACAACCCCGCCCAGATCGGT